TGAACAATGAGAACACATGGACACAGGGATGGGAACATCACACACATGGGTCTGTTGGGGGTGGGGTGCTAGGGGAGGGATAGCAGGGGTGGGGGAGATTGGGGAGGGATAACATTGGGAGAAATACCTAATGTAGGTGACGGGGGGATGGAGGCAGCACACCACCATGGCATGTGTATACCTACGTAACAATCCTACAAGATCTGCACATGTACCCCAGAACTTAAAGTATTAGTATGTATGTGTATGTGTGTGTGTGTGTGTGTGTGTGTGTATATATATATATACACATACATATATATATATATATATAATAATATGGTAGTGAATTATATAATTTAAAAATACACTTACAGTGTAATACAATGATCCTATTCCTAGGTATTTACCCAAGAAATTTTCAAACATATATCTACACAGAGACTTGTATATGAATGTTCAGGGTAGTATTTTTTATAATATTCTCAAATATGCAACCCAAATTCCATCAGTAGTAGAATGAGAGTGAATACTGTGGTATATCTATACTATGAACTTTAAGAGTATAAGGACTGGTAATCATTAAATACATGTGTACCTATAGAACTAAAAGTAAACTATGGCTATAAAGAAGAAAACATAGTAGATAATGGCTTTATGTTTGGTCAGTGCAGATACTGTACATCTAGCAAGAATTAAAGAAGGAGAAGAATAAACTCATAACCTTGTAATTTAGAAAATTTAAGTCACTTTAAATTAATTGTATTTTTAATGTTGAGAGATTAAAACAATTTTTTTTTTTTTGAGACCAAGTCCTGCTCTGTAGTCCAGGCTGGGGTGCAGTGGCACAATCTCAGCTCACTGCAACCTCCACCTCCCAGGTTCAAGCAATTCCCCTGTCTCAGCCTTCTGAGTAGCTGGGATTACAGGTGTCTGCCACCTCGCATGGCTAAAATTTTTTTGTATTTTTAGTAGAGACAGAGTTTCACCATGTTGGCCAGGCTGGTTTCAATCTCCTGACCTCAAGTGATCCACCCACCTCAGCCTTCCAAAGTGCTGGAATTACAGGAGTGAGCCACTGTGCCTGGCCTAAAACAACTTTTAAAGTAAATAAAGAACAAGATGCAATACATCATATTTATTCCTAATATTTAAGTTTTCTCTGACCTGTCTTATCTGACTCCAAATATTCTTAAGTCTTCTTCCCTACCTTTCATCAGGGATACATGGATTTTTACTGCTTACTCTAAAAAACATGGAGCTTAAAAATGTTAAGCAGATATAAAAAGTGATTTTCTAAAAATTGATCATTAAAACACTTCATTGTTCTTAATTAGTTGACAACTATGAAATGACTGTTCAATGCTAACATTCTAGGTAAGCCAAAAAAGTACCAAGTTACAGATTCATATGACACATAATATTCCAGCCCAGGTAGTATTTTGTTGCATACATTAAAGCTTAATAGGAATATTTTAGTTTCTGATTATCGCAGGACTACTGAACTAGTCGTCTTCAATAATTAATAAAACATTGGTGCAAGGAAAACAAAATATAAACACACCATAATTAGTACAGGGAAATCTTTAATGAAATGTTATAATATATAATAAATAACAATTTTGAAAGCTTTTTCAAACTGTGTTTTAATCATGTTTGTCTCCATGAAGCTGCTAAGTTAATTAAATAGGCAAACCAACTTGAGACAAGGAAATTGATTTTCTGCATAGGGCACTCTCAACAAAGTAGCAGACATAAGAAAAGGATCAATTTTTCTTCATGGTGTGCAAATTAAGTTCTGTTCAGAAAAAAATAGCAAAATCCCTGTTTCCTTGTTCTCCTGTGCTCTTTTGTTCTTTAGTGACTTGTTAATTAAGTAAATATGGCAGGAAGGGAAAATACATCTGAATATTCTCTGTATCTTTCACTTTCGGTAAGTCTCTTGTCTCAGAGAGAGCTTCCAACCACTCCTTCCAGCCTCCTCCCTAATGGAGCCTGGGCACCCAGGCTTTCTACCCACTGAAAAATTCTAGCAGCAATTTATTTACCATAAACAAAAAAAATTGTAACTTGTGCATTGCAATTTTTTTTTATTGTACTTTAGGTTCTGGGGTACATGTGCAGATCATACAGGATTGTTGCATAGGTACATAGAGAGTCTATTCCTTTGTCTTCCTTTTATCACAATCACCCCCATCTCGACATGTGTCCCAGGTGCACAAGAGTCTTATTTTCATTTGCATCCTAAAAGGGAAATCAGGAGGATCCACATTTGCCTGTATTTATAAGGCTAAAGAAAGCTTAACTGTGGCAACCCAAGCTTGAGCTCTTTGACATGGGATTTTATTGTTTCAAGGGCTTCATCAATGTCCATTTATAATCTGGAATAAGTGAATGGAGGAATCTTTGCTTTGATGCATAAATACAAAGCGAAAGATATCCCTTTGTGAATTTTGATGCTGGAAAGTGTGTTCTTGTTTGGAAGGTAGAAAAGGGGTATTTTCCTATGTCCTTTGCTTATTATGACATTAGTAAAGATCTCTATAGTCCAGAACTATATATGAACAGTTCAACTATCATAGTGCACTATTCACTGTAGAGTGTGCCATCTCTGAGATAATTTTGTACAAATGTGAATATATCTTTTCCTCTTTTGTTGAATGTGAACAACACCAAGACCTTTATCACTTGGGAAAGAACTTTTACTGCTTCATGAGGGAAGAATTTTTGAATAAATAAAATTCAAGCAGGAGCTTTTAAATAATTCCAGAAAACTCTTTTCCCACACTTTGTAATTCCAAACCTGGGGTTAGGAAGCAATATAGTTTTTTTAGATGTAAATATCTGAGTTGTGAGAAATTTCAAAGTAAAACTGATATTACATTATTATATAATTATTATGTATTATAATATAAAGTCATGTACAACATAATGAGGTTTTTGGTCAACAATGAACCACATATGCAATGGTGGTCCCATAAAATCATAATACTGTATTTTTACCATGTGTTTTCTATGTTTAGGTATGTTGAGATATACAAATAGTTACAATTTTATTACAGTTGCCTACAGCATTCAGCACAGTAACATGCTGTACAGTTTTGTAGCCTAAGAACTATAAGGTATGCCATATAGCCTAGATGTGTAGTAGGCTATACAGTCTAGGTTTGTGTAAGTACTACTTGTAATGTTTGTACATCAAAATTGCCTAACAATGCACTTTGTATCCCCATTGTTAAGGGACATATGATTGTATATAGCATAATGCCATGTTATTATATTCAGATATCCCCCAGTAAATCAGATCTATTATGAAATAAATGTTTGTATTGCCCCAAAATTTCTTGTTGAAACCCTAACCTCCAATGCGATGGTATTTGAAAATGGTGCCCTCTGGGAGGTAAGCAGGTTGAGATGAGGTCATGAGAGTGGGGCTTTCATGATGGAATTAGTGCCCTTGTAGGAAAAGACACCAGAAAGCTTGCTTGCTCTCTTTCTCTCTCTCGCCTATGTGAGCACACAATAAGAAAGACACCATTCAAGAGCCAGGAAGAGAACCCTCACCAGAACCTAACCATGCTGGGATCTTGATCCCAGACTTTCAGCTTCCAGAACTGTAAAAGAATAATTTTCTGTTGTTTAACACACAACCTCTAGTGTTCAATTATAGCAGTCAGAGCTGACAAAGACACTAACTCAGAGCATATTCAACTAACTTTGCTTAGTGTTCTTTCCCAAGACTGTCATCTAGCCACTGTTTTTGCTTGCCTGAGCAAAAATTGAGTCAGGGGATTACTAGACATAAGTAAGGGCAGAAAATTAATCTGGTGTCCTTAACGTAGTAGAATAACACTGCTTTTGTTGTCCCTCTGTATTGCTCTCCACATATACAGGCATATCTCATTTTGCTGAACTTTATTGCATTTCACAACTATTGCATTTTTTATTTATATTTTTTATCATACTTTAGGTTCTGGGGTACATGTGCAGATTATGCAGGATTGTTGCATAGGTACATACATGGCAATGTGGTTTGCTGCCTCCATCCCCCCACACCTATATCTGGCACTTCTCCCCAAGTTATCCCTCCCCAACCTCCCTACCCTCTGCTGTCCCTCTCCTGCCCCCCCAACAGACCCAAGTGTGTGATGATCCCCTCCCTGTGTCCATATGTTCTCATTGTTCAATACCCACCTATGAGTGAGAACATGTGGTGTTTGTTTTTCATTCTTGTATCAGTTTGCTGAGAATGATGGTTTCCAAATTCACCCATGTCCCTACAAAGGACATGAACTCATTCTTTTTTATAGCTGCATCGTAATCCATGGTGTATATGTGCCACATTTTCCTTGTCCAGTCTATCATCAATGGGCATTTGGGTTGGTTCCAGGTCTTTGCTATTGTAAACAGTGCTGCTATGAACACATGTGTTCATGTGTCTTTATAGTAGAACGATTTATAATCCTTTGGATATATACCCAGTAATAGGATTGTTGAGTCAAATGGAATTTCTATTTCTAGGTCCTTGAGGAAGCGCCACACTGTCTTCCACAATGGTTGAACTAATTTACACTCCTACCAACAGTGTAAAAGTATTCCTGTTTCTCCACATCCTCTCCCGTATCTGTTGTCTCCAGATTTTTTAATGATCGCCATTCTAACTGGCGTGAGGTGGCATCTCAGTGTGGTTTTGATTTGCATTTCTCTAATGACCAGTGATGAGCATTTTTTCATGTTTGTTGGCTTCATATATGTCTTCTTTTGAAAAGTGTCTGTTCATATCCTTTGCCTACTTTTGAATGGGTTTGTTTGTTTTTTCTTGTAAATCTGTTTTAGCTCTTTGTAGATTCTGGATATTAGCCCTTTGTCAGATGGGTAGATTGCAAAAATTTTTTCCCATTCTGTTGGTTGCCAGTTCACTCTAATAATTGTTTCTTTTGCTGTACAGAAGCTCTGGAGTTTAATTAGATCCCATTTATCTATTTTGGCTTTTGTTGCCAATGCTTTTGGTGTTTTGGTCATGAAGTCCTTGCCTATGCCTATGTCCTGCATGGTTTTGCCTAGGTTTTCTTCTGGGCTTTTTATGGTGTTAGGTCTTATGTTTAAGTCTTTAATCCATCTGGAGTTAATTTTAGAGTAAGGTGTCGGGAAAGGGTCCAGTTTATGCTTTTTCACATGGCTAGCCACTTTTCCCAACACCATTTATTAAACAAGGAATTGTTTCCCCATTGCTTGTTTTTGTCAGGTTTGTCAAATAATCAGATGGTTGTAGATGTGTGGCATTGCCTCTGAGGCCTCTGTTCTGTTCCATTGATCTATATCTCTGTTTTGTCACAAGTACCATGCTGCTTTGATTACTGTAGCTTTGTAATATACTTTGAAGTCAGGTAGCATGATGCCTCCAGCTTTGTTCTTTTTGCTTAGGATTGACTTGGCCATGCAGGCACTCTGTTGGTTCCATATGAAGTTTAAGGTGGTTTTTTCCACTTCTGTGAAGAAGGTCATTGGTAGCTTGATGGGGGTAGCTTGAATCTATAAATTATTTTGGGCAATATGGTCATTTTCACGATACTGATTCTTCCTAACCATGAGCATGGAATGTTTTTCCATCTGTTTGTCTCCTGTCTTATTTCCTTGCTATTGCATTTTTTCAAAATTGAAAATTTGTTGCAACCCTGCACCAAGGAATTCTATAAGCAACCCTTTTGTAACCACACCTGCTTACCTTTTGTCTCCGTCTCATAATTTAGTAATTCTCACAATATTTCAAACTTGTTCATTATCATTATATCTGTTATGGTGATTTGTGACCAGCAATCTTTGATTTTACTATTATTTTTGGCGGGGGGTGGGGGTACCAGGAACCATTCCCATAGAAGATGGTAACTTAATTAATTGATCAGCGTTGTATGTGTTCTGACTGCTCCATGAACCAGCTGTCCCCCAGGCTCTCTCCCTCTTCTCAAGCCTCTCCTCTCTATACCTTGAGACACGCAATATTGATTATGACCCTCTTGGATGACTTTGATAGATTCGAGACTTCAGTGCAGGAAGTCACTGCAGGTGTGGTGGAAATAGCAAGAGAACTAGAATTATATGTGGAGCCTAAAGGTGTGACTGAATTGCTGCAATCTCATGTTAAAGTCTGAATAGATGAGGGATTGAAGCAAGGAAGTGGTTCCTTAAGATGGAATCTACTTCTTTTTTTTTTTTAATTTATTTTATTGCATTTTAGGTTTTGGGGTACATGTGAAGAACATGCAATATTGTTGCATAGGTACACACGTGGCAGTCTGATTTGTTGCCTTCCTCCCCATCGATGGGCATTTGGGTTGGTTCCAGGTCTTTGCTATTGTAAACAGTGCTGCAATGAACATTCATGTGCATGTGTCCTTATAGTAGAACGATTTATAATCCTTTGGATATATACCCAGTAATGGGATTGCTGGGTCAAATGGAATTTCTATTTCTAGGTCCTTGAGGAATCGCCACACTGTCTTCCACAATGGTTGAACTAATTTACACTCCCACCAACAGTGTAAAAGTGTTCCTATTTCTCCACATCCTCTCCAGCATCTGTTGTCTCCAGATTTTTTAATGATCGCCATTCTAACTGGCGTGAGATGGTATCTCAATGTAGTTTTGATTTGCATTTCTCTGATGACCAGTGATGATGAGCATTTTTTCATATGTTTGTTGGCCTGATGTATGTCTTCTTTTGTAAAGTATGTGTTCATATCCTTTGCCCACTTTTGAATGGGCTTGTTTGTTTTTTTCTTGTAAATCTTAGTTCTTTGTAAATTCTGGATATCAGCCCTTTGTCAGATGGGTAAACTGCAAAAATTTTTTCCCATTCTGTTATGGGACCTAATCAAACTCCATAGCTTCTGCACGGCAAAAGAAACAGTCATTAGAGTGAAACGGCAAGCAACAGATGGAATCTACTTCTGGTGAAGATACTGTGAACATTGTTGCAACAACAAAGGATTTAGAATATTCCATAAACTTAGTTGATAAAGCAGTGGCAGGAGTTGAGAGGATTGACTTCAATATTGCAAGAAATTCCACTGTAGGTAAAATGCTATCAAATAGCATCATATAATACAGAGAAATCTTTCATGAAAGGAAGAGTAAATCAACACAGCAAACTGCATGGTTGTCTTATTTTAAGAAATTGCCAGCTGGGCACAGTGGCTCATGCCTGTAATCCCAGCGAATTGGGAGGCTAAATAGGGAGGATCACTTGAGGCCAGAAGTTTGAGACAAGTCTGGGCAACATAGCAAGACTGTCTTTACAAAAATAAACCAGGCATGGTGGTGTGCCCCTATATTCTAGCTACTGGAAAGACTGAGGCAGAAGGATTGCTTGAGCCCAGTAAGTCAAGGCTGCAGTGAACTATGATCGTACCACTGCACTCCAGCCTAGGTGACAGAACGAGACCCTGACTGTTAAAAAAAAACGAAATTACCACTGTCACTCAACCTTCAAGAAACACCACTGTAAGCAGTCAGTAGCCATCAATGTCAAGACAAGACAATGCCACACCCTCTACCAGCAAAAAGATTACAACTCACTGAAGGATCAGATGATTGTTAGCATTTTTTAGCCATAAAGCATTTTTAAATTAAGGTATGTACATTGTTTTTTAGACATAATGTTATTACATTGTGCTATTTTTAGACATGCTACTATGTCTGAAATTTCTAGACATTATATTTAAACATAATGCTATTGCATATTGCTGTTGCACACTTATTAGACTATAACTTTTCTATGCACTAAGATACCAAAAAATTGGTGTGACTCACTTTTTTGCAATATTTGCTTTATTACAGTGGTTTGAATCAAACCCATAGTATTTCTGAGGTATGCCTATAGTTAGCATGTGGGCATGTTTTCTATCACTAATGTATTTTAATTCTCTGAAATCAGCATCTACCGCTAGTGAACTTACATTTAAACTCAGTGCCCTAAGCATGATGGATACGCAAATATTTTTGGTTGAAGGACATAGTACCCTGGATTTTCAGAGTACAGTTATATTAGTCCATTTTCATGTTGCTGATAAAGACACACCTGAGACTGGGTAATTTATAAAGAAAAAGAGGTTTAATGGACTCACCGTTCCACATGGCTGGGGAGGCGTCACAATCATGTTGGAAGGTGAAAGGCACACCTTACCTGGCAACAGATATAAGAGAGAGAATGAGAACCAAGAGAAAGGGGTTTCCCCTTATAAAAACTATCAGATCTTGTGAGACTTACTACCACAAGAACCGTATGGGGGAAACTGCCCCCATGATTCAGTAATCTCCCACCAGGTCCCTCCTATAACACATGGAAATTATGGGAGCTACAATTCAAGATAAGAATTGTGTGAGGACACAATTAAACCATATCAACAGTATTCCAAAATGGAGGAGAGGGGAGCTGTTTGGATTAAAAAATAATAAGCCAGTTGTAATATAGACACTGAGTAGGGACTGCTTGCACATGGAGAATTCTCTAAAGATGCAACTAAGTGATTACTTGAGAAAATCCCAGAATCCTGAAATTTCATTTTGCAAGTATGGAGAAGTTAGGTTAAAAAATCAAGCAAGCGAGGTGGAGGAAAGCTAGGTTATGTGGAACATCTGTGGAACACAGAGCTGTGTGTCTGCCAAGGTTCTCTATTACCACTGCAGGTGTGTTCCTGTTCTCCCCACTGTACTCTGGGCAAGGTTGCCTAAAATAGGCTTCACTTCATTTTTGTTCAGCCACTCCTGATTTACTTCCTTCTGTAGACTTGGAAATCTCATGGCCATATTATGTTCTCCATGTTAAATCTCTGTTATTCTTGATGAAAATAATCCAAACTGAGGGTTCCTGCTCAAACTCTCCATCTGACTCTTTGATGTCCACTGTTCCCTAGAGAAATGTGAAGTTGGCTTCTGCAGCTGCACTTCTGGATTTGTTCCATTCTCAGAATAGGCCCAAGAAGGATGTTTCTATAGCTTGGTACTTATTCTTAGCTCTTAGAATATTTTCTTAATTGCTTCCCTCCGCATCCTCCTAGCACTTGTGAGCTATGCTTGCACTGGGCTTTGTTGCTGGCATTTGTACATTGTTGTTTTTCCATGTTTTCCCAAATATAATGTAACCTGACTATTAAGTATGGGGTCTATGCCATGAGTCCATCTGTGTTGTAATGTGGCTCTCTGTGTACTTCTTTCATAACTATACAAATACTTTTTCTTCTAACCCAGATCACGTATACTCTAGAACCTCCCTTTTGAAAGTGAGATCCACAAACCAGCAGCATAGGCATAACCTGGGAACTTATTAGAAATGCAGGATCTCAGGCTCTATCCCAGACCTACTGCATTACAATCTGAAATTTAGCAAGATCCCCAGGTGATTCATGTGCATATTACAATTTGAAGTAGTATACTGGGCTAGAGTGGTAGCTTTTGAAGCTGGTTGTACAGTAGTCATATGGAGAACTTTAAAAAAAATATGAAAGTTGGGTCTCACTCCTAGGGATTCTAATTTAATTGATTTGAGGCAGGGCCCTAATATGGATATTATTTTCAAGTTTTATGTTTGTTAAGTTCCATGTTTATTTCATTTCACAGCTGAAACACATTTCCCTAGAATAAGCACTGTTAGGTGAAATTTGTGCCCTTTTAGCTGTACATGTTGTATATTCTGTGTTAGACTAGAAGATCCTCGAGGGCCACTTACAGATTTACTATGTTTTGTGTATCCTCCAAATCATCCTTGGTACAGTGTTAAGCGTATAATGGTTGTTCAATGACATGTTCATGGTTGATGGGGTACTAAAGCAGGAGGGAGATGACTAGCATTTATGTCCTGGCTCTGTAAGCCATGACCTCTTTGACTTGGAGCAGATATAGAAGCATAGGTAGTAATAAGTGCTAAGAAGAAAAAATAGAGCACAGTTAAGTGTTGGAGCATGGTTAATTGTTAGGTGACAGTGGGAAGAGTTTATTTAGCTGGGTTATCAGAGAAGACCTTTCTGAAGAGGGGACATTTGAGCAGAGACTTGAATGGCCTAAGAGGCAAGCTAGGCAGAGATCTTGGGTGAGAAAGATCTTTCTAAACAGAGAGCCTCCAAGAATAAAAGTCCTGCATCATAAACAAGCTAATGATGGTCAAGGGCTAGACAAAGAGCAAGGGTGGTTGTATTCGCATTCTTTGTGGATGTCCCTAATCTATGACTTAAAGGATCCAGTAGATGTATTTAAGTCTTAAAACTATCAAAGCTTTAGAGCATTTATGGGAACCATAAATCACCTGCAGGTATAAGTATCCAGTGTTTGCGGCAGCACAAAAGTAACAGAAAGCCAGAGTGTCATCATCATTGGCTCAACTTCTCCACTTTTCAATATAGTAATATTTTACTTTAGGACCAGCAGGATTGTGACACCAAACACATACAGATATAATATTTACTGATCTAGGCAGTGCCTTGAGTTCAGCAGATTTACTCCTGCTCTGTTATGTGATGTAAAGGTCCACTGAGGCACTCTTCTGCTTCTGTCTCTTCCCCTTTGAGTGAACTGCTCAGAAAACAAGTATCAATACAGAGAGCCAGCCCTCTGGGCATGGTGTCCTGGGTGTTGGGGCATGGCTCTGAGACTCTGGTTCCAGCCAAGGGGCTGAGTGGCATTAATTTTGTTGCTTTCCTGCTTCTTGACACATTTTGTTTTAGATATCATGGTTTTATTTCTACAGTTCAGCTGCCAAAGTCCATCTAAGGTACATAGACTTGTGTCCCAGTTATAGAAATCTTAACTGCAAAATTTTCAAGTTAGAATATCAGCCCTCACAAAAACAATGCTCGATGATGATGATTGGTGATGATGATGACAATGATGATGATTACGAGTAACGTATCCACAGTGGGTCTCCTCTTTTTCACATGTCATTTGACTCTGGCAGTGCACATTAAATATTCATAATATAAGAGCATTAACTTACACAAAATAACTTTAATTCCATTTCATTTCTCTTGTAATTACCTTATATGTGTTATCAAATTTGATCCCCCTTCTGCATTAGGCACTGTCTTCGTTACCAGGAGCTAAGTCACATAGACATTAGGCAACTTGTCCAAAGTTACACACTTAACCAGACCACAGACCCCAGAATTTCTGGTTCCAAAATTTGAGTTCATAGTCATATTACATGACTTCCTGAGTAACGACCACTTATTTTACAAAATTCGACTCAAGAATATACTCTCAATGAAATTTTTTCTTATCTACCCCTCATTAGGTATAAACACTATGACAAAGACTATATTATTATCATTTTCTGTTCTTATTCTATGTCAAGCTCTGTGCTTGGTGCTGTTGCTTGTATAACCCTTACAATGTTAGGCTGCCTCCTGGCCATGCAATAAAATGGTTTTATTCAAAGTCCTATACTGTAAAATTAAATTGTATTAGTCTTTATTGCATTATTTTTAAAAACTCCAGAAAGGTAATATCATTCATAACACAGAGCAACACTTCTGATAATCTTTTTCTCCCTCTGTCCTCATCCTCTCACATCTTTTCAGACTGCAAGCAATGCATGAGAGCTGTATCCAATCCCACTTCTTCCAAACTCTAAAAATCTTTCCTCAAAACTTATTCCAGGTTTGATTTCTCTTCTGTCTCTTCCTCGTTTCCTTCTTTTTCTTTCTAAATCTAGTTTTTTCCCTCTCTCTAGAGTAGCTTTGTATCCTTTCCAGTGTAAATAAATCTGTCTTAGCTTCTTCACACTGGCAGTTCTACAGACCCAATGAAATGAAAACTGAATCAACAAACCTCATCAAAGAGACAGACCTAGCAACAAAGGAATCTTAGAAGAAAAAAGGAAAAGAAGGCAATGATCATCCATATATTTATATGTTGCCCTTGTCACATACATATTCTTATTTACCAACACCACTCTTTTTTAAAATTATTATACTTTAAGTTCTGGGGCACATGTACAGATCATGCAGGTTTGTTACATACGTATACACATTCTATAGTGTTGGTTTGCTGCATCCATTGCCCTGTCATCTACATTAGGTACTTATCCTAATGATATACCTCCCCAATCCCCCCACTCGCTGCTATTCCACCCCTAGTCTCCCACCCCCAGGCCCTGGTGTGTGATGTTCCCCTCCCTGTGTCCATGTGTTCTCATTGTTCAACACCCGCCTATGAGGGAGAACATGTGGTGTTTGGTTTTCTGTTCTTGTGCCAGTTTGCTGAGAATGATGGTTTCCAGTTTCATTCATGTCCCTACAAAGGACATGAACTCATCCTTTTTTATGGCTGCATAGTATTCCATGGTGTATATGTGTCACATTTTCTTTATCCAGTCTATCATTGATGGGCATTTGGGTTGGTTCCAAGTCTTTGCTATTGTGCACAGTGCCACAATAAACATACATGTGCATGTGTCTTTATAATAGAATGATTTATAATCCTTTGGATATATACCCAGTAATCGGATTGCTGGATCAAATGGTATTTCTGGTTCTAGATCCTTGAGGAATCACCACACTGTCTTCCACAATGATTGAATTAATTTACACTTTCTAAGAGTGTTCCTTTTTCTCCACATCCTCTCCAGCATCTGTTGTCTCCTGATTTTTTAATGATTGCCATTCTAACTGGTGTGAGGTGATATCTCACTGTGGATTTGATTTGCTTTTCTCTAATGACCAGTGATGTTGAGTTTTTTTTTTTTTTTTCATATGTTTGTTGGCTGCATAAATGTCTTCTTTTGAAAAGTGTCTGTTCATATCCTTTGACCACTTTTTGATGGGGTTGTTTTCTTCTTGTAAATTTGTTTAAGTTATCTGTAGATTCTGGATTGTAGCCCTTTGTCAGGTGGGTAGATTGCAAAATTTTTTTCCCATTCTGTTGGTTGCCAGTTCACTCTATTGATAGTTTCTTTTGCTGTGCAGAAGCCCTGGAGTTTAATTATATCCCATTTGTCTATTTTGGCTTTTTTTTGCCATTGCTTTTGGTGTTTTAGTCAGGAAGTCCTTGCCCATGTCTATGTCGTGAATGGTATTGCCTAGGTTTTCTTCTAGGGTTTTTGTGGTGTTAGGCCTCATGTTTAAATCTTTAATCCTTCTAGAGTTTATTTTTGTGTAAGGTGTAAGGAAGGGGTCCAGTTTCAGCTTTCTGCATATGGCTAGCCAGTTTTCCCATTTATTAAATAGGGAATCTTTTCCCCGTTGCTTGTTTTTGTCAGGTTTGTGAAAGCTCAGATGGTTGTAATTGTGTGGCATTCTTTCTGAGGCCTCTGTTCTGTTCCATTGGTCTACATCTCTGCTTTGGAATCAGTACCATGTTGTTTTGATTACTGTAGACTTATTATATAGTTTAAAGTCAGGTAGCATGACGCCTCCAGCTTGCTTTTTTTGCTTAGGATTGTCTTGGCTATGCGGGTTCTTTCTTGATTCCATATGAACTTTAAGGTGGTTTTCTCCAGTTCTGCGAAGAAAGTCATTGGTAGCTTGATGGGGATAGCATTGAATCTATAAATTACTTTGGGAAGTATGGCCATTTTCATGATACTCATTCTTCCTAACCATTAGCATGGGATGTTTTTCCATCTGTTTGTGTCCTCTCTTATTTCCTTCAGCAGTGGTTTGTAGTTCTCCATGAAGAAGTCCTTCACTTCCCTTGTTAGTTGTATTCCTAGGTATTTTATTCTCTTTGTAGCAATTGTGAATGGGAGTTCACTCATGATTTGGCTCTCTGTCTATTGTTGGTGTACAGGAATGCTTGTGATTTTTGCACATTGATTTTGTATTCTGAGATTTTTCTTAAGTTGCTTATCAGCTTAAAGAGATTTTTGGCTGAGACAATGGGGTTTTCTAAATATACAATCATGTCATCTGCAAACAGAGACAATTTGACATCCTCTCTTCGTATTCAGATGCCCTTTGTTTCTTTCTCTTGCCTGATTGCCCTGGCCAGAACTTCCAGTACTATGTTGAATAGGAGTGGTGACAGAGGGCATCCTTGTCTTGTGCCAGTTTTCAAAGGGAATGCTTCTAGTTTTTGCTGATTCAGTATGATATTGGTCGTGGGTTTGTCATAAATAGCTCTTATTATTTTGAGATACAATCCATCAATGCCTAGTTTATTGAGAATTTTAGTATAAAGGAGCTGTTGAATTTTGTCAAAGGCCTCCTCTTCATCTATTGAGATAATCATGTGGTTTTTGTCATTGGTTCTGTTTATGTGATGGATGACGTTTATAGATTTGCAGATGTTGAACTACTTGTATCTCTGAGATGAAGCCAACTTGATCATGATAGATAAGCTTTTTGATGTGAGGTTGGGTTTGGTTTGCCAGTGTAGCCTGGAGATATGGTAACTCCCAGTTTTCTCAGAAAAGCCCTGAGTCCCCTTAGTTTCCAGTAAATCAGGATGATTGGTCGTGCTACCTGGAGGAGCAATTCCACCTCTTGGTTTCCTCAATTGTCAAAGGTGGGGCTGGTGGTGTGTGGCCTGGATACTAATTTTACCCTCATATGTTTGCTCAAAGGTAAAATAAGGCTGGGCGCAGTGGCTCATGCCTGTAATCCCAGCACTTTAGGAGGCCAAGACAGGAGAATCACTGGAGGTCAAGAGTTCAAGACCAGCTTAGCCAACATGTGAAACACCATGTCTACTAAAAATATAAAAATTTTTACCATCTTAAGATGAAAAATCGAGGATCAGAGAGGGTTATCTCTTACCCAGTGGGATAGGGTAAATGAATACAAATCCAGAATATGAATCTAGTCTGAGTAAATAAAAGCCCTCGAGTTTAGCCAGACTAGTCATTGGATATGTTGCTTAATATCTTCAACCTGCCTTAAAGGCTCAATTGTCCTCTACAGAGCAGGGGTCAGTGAGCTATGGCCCATGAGTCAAATCCAGCCCACTACCTGTTTTTGCAAATAAAGTTTTATTGGAACATAGTCACATTTATTCATTTACATACATCTGTGGCTGCTTTTGCACTACAGAGGTGGAGTTGAGTAGTTCTGACAAAGGCTGTATTGGTCTGTTAACTTAATATGCTTACTATATGGCTCTTTACAGAAAGTTTGCTGTATCCAACTATAGAAGACCCTCATGCCCTCAGGGTAGACCTCATAGCACTTCTTATAGTTAACCAGAAATAGGCCAGTTCACCAAAAATCTCTCTGTAGATTATTTATGACGTTTACCATACTATATTTAACAATCTAACAAAATGTATTTATATCAACTACTTATAGGATTTAAAGTAATTTGTATTAGGTGAAATTAACAGCTTTTGAATCATTCTGCAAAAGTTTCTTTGCTTGGTTTTTATTTTTTCTTCTTAATTAATATGTCAGTGATGCTCAGTTTTTCATTGCCCTTGCATCCTGCTGAGTTAGCTGGAGGGTTTGGGGTAGAGAAAGGGGACTCTGAGTCTGGGGACAGCAGAGAGGAGAGCCATTTTAGAGCACAGCCTGGGCTGCCATCAAGAAGAGTGAACCTGGGAGAAAGAAGGGGAAAGGCCAAGTACAGGGAGATAGGAGACCCTGCAGCTGGGGGAGAGTATGGCAGACCAGAACTCTGGATTCTAGCTCCTCACAATATTAATGAGTGAGCCCTACTATCCCATCCAATACTAATTTCTGTCAATCTGCAAATAGTTTTAAAATATTTGGTAATTTGATAAATTTGTTCAATATGACACATAGATCATTCAGTGGATTTATCTGTTGCAAACTGGGTTCTGGCAAATTGTTTTAGTCAGGAAGTTCATCAAGAAATGTTTATGGGGCATCTACTATGTGCCAAGTACTCTTGGGATTTATCAGTGAAAATTTAAAGACCCCCATAATCTTCTTATAGGTTATATTCCATCGGGGGAGACAGATAATAAGTAATATATAAAACAAATGAGCAAATTATATGGCACCTTAGAAATTGTTAAGTGCTGTTGTGGGGCAGGAAAGAATCAACAGTGTAATGAAGATTGAGAATACAAATGGAGGAATACAATTTTAAATAGTATGGTCAGGGTAGACCTCATTGAGAAGATAATATTTGAGCAAAGGCTTGATGGAGTAAGGAGAAAGGCACATAAATATCTAGGAAAGAACATTCCAGGCAGAGGAAACAGTCAGTGCAGAGACTTTAAGGTGAAAGCAACAAAAAAGACAGTGTGTCTGGAGTAAAAAGTGAAGGGAGAGTTAGAAAATGAGGTCTAAGTAGTTATGGTGGCTTGACCATGTAGGTCCTTGTTGACCATTAAAAGGATTACAGCTTATATACTAGGTGAAATATGGGCCATGGAGGTTTTTGGATAGAGAAGCTACATGGTATGACTTAGGTTTTAAAAGGACACTGCAGCTGCTTTGTTGATTATAGACTCTGGGTGAACAAGGGAGGGAGCAAGAATACCAGTTAGGAGATTACTGAAGTTATCAAAGTGAGAGATGGAGACTGGGACCAGTTGCTAGCAGTGGAGAGATGAGAAAGGGTCAGATTTTGCTGCATGTATACTGAAGTAGAGCCAACAGGACTTCCTGATGGATTGGACATGGGGTTTAAGTGAAAGAAAGTAGTTAAATATTTTGCGCAGTGACTAGAATGATAAAGTTAGCAGCCTACATGACCATAAGAAAGATTGCAAGTAGAACAGGTTGATGTAGACATCTATGAGACATCAAAGTAGTGTAACTGAATAGACATTTGATATAGGAGTGTGGAGATAATAGAAGATTTTAGCTAAAGATACAAATTTCAGTGATTGAAATACAGCTCCTGGCATTTCTTGGTTTCTTTTACTAGACTGTAAATTATTTGATGGCAAGACCCCGTATCATTCATTTATCTCTAGCCCTTAACATGGTGCCAGAAACATAATGGATAACACTGAATTTTGCTGATGTTCAAAGATGCTACATGAATGAACGAATGAACAGACACATACTTTTATGCAGCTAATTTATGCACTTTGAGAAAAGGCCATTTTCCTCCTGCGGAAGGAAAAAAACCTCAAATTGCTCCATTTACCTCTAATCGTATTTAGAAAGCTTGCATGTTCAAGCATGTATCATAGCAAAGGATCAAATATGGCCTTTGAACTTGGCAGTGTGCTATCTTTTCCATCATTTTAGTTGTATTAAGAGATAATAAATATATTGACAGTCCTAGTTATTCTTGTTTTAAGAGAATGACTCATTGATCAAAGAAGAGTTGTCAATTTTTAGACAAGCTGGATCACAGTAACTGAATTCTAAAGTAAAAGGTCAGGAATATTCATCCATCTGAGAAAAAAAATGTATAGCTGACAAACTAAGACAAGAGAAAAATAGCTTCTAGGAAGTAGATAACTTTATTAAAGCTTAATTTTAAAGTAGAAAACATTTGCCAATATCCACAGTCTAAGAATTAAGTATATTTTTGCAGATTAATAAATTTTGAAGTTCATATCTCAAGCCTATGATGTATTAAAAGTAGCAACTCTGTCCAAATAAATATAATACTAATATAAGTATTTTATCAATTTTAATTTCCAGCTTACATTTAAGAAAGGGAATGGAATAGTTAGGTAGATAAAACTGATTTATTATTTTCCTGAATATTACCAAGTTTGTTACTATAATTCCTTCTGTTGAGTTGTGACAAATGAGAATAAATTATACATTCTCAGATTTCTGCTCCTTTAGAATTCATAAAGCAGAATAAAACACACACACACACGTGCGCGCGCGCGCACACACACACACACACACACACACACACACACATATATACATATATATACACACAGAGACCAATTAATAAAAACTCATGATCAACAAGGCAGTTTTATTTAAAGGAACAGATGTAACTTGATTTCAGAGTTGCAGAAAGCTTGGCTCACATATTTTTACATTAATTTCAGTATATATTACTGTACAGAAAGATAAGCAACACTATTTACTTAAGTGAACTCATTTTTAAAACTGTAATTTCAGATATGAATGATGATAGAAAGCAGAGAAATTATCCTGATAAGCATTCCAGGCACCAAACAAAACTTATATGAATATCTAAGCCTTAAAGATTTAGGCATATATGAGTTATAAAAATATTTATTTAATTTTCTGAGCAGGAATAGATTTATATGAATTCCATATAAGATATTTTTTAAAGTCTTCCCTGACCCCATATTCTATGA